TATGTCCTGAATGATATTACCTAGGTTTTCTTCTAGGGTTTTTATGGTTTTAGGTCTAACATTTAAGTCTCTAATCCATCTTGAATTAATTTTTGTATAAGAAGTAAGGAAGGGATCCAGTTTCAGTTTTCAACTTACGGCTAACCAGTTTTCCCAGCAGCATTTATTAAATAGGGAATCCTTTCCCCATTGCTTGTTTTTGTCAGGTTTGTCAAAGAACAGATGGATGTAGATGTGTGGTATTATTTCTGAGGGCTCTGTTCTGTTCCATTGGTCTATGTCTCTGTTTTGGTACCAGTACCATGCTGTTTTGGTTACTGCAGCCTGGTAGTATAGTTTGAAGTCAGGTAGCATGATGCCTCCAGCTTTGTTCTTTTGACTTAGGATTGTCTTGTTGATGCGGGGTCTTTTTTAGTTCCATATGAACTTTAAAGTAGTTTTTTTTCCAATTCTGTGAAGAAAGTCATTGGTAGCTTAATGGGGATGGCATTGAATCTATCAATTACATTGGGCAGTATGGCCATTTTCATGATATTGAATCTTCCTATCCATGAGTAAGGAATGTTCTTCCATTTGTTTGTGTCCTCTTCGATTTCACTGAGCAGTGGTTTGTAGTTCTCCTTGAAGAGGTCCTTCACATCCCCTGTAAGTTGGATTCCTAGGTATTTATTCTTTGTGAAGCAATTGTTAATGGGAGTTCATTCATGATTTGGCTCTCTGTTTTTCTGTTACTGGTGTATAAGAATGCCTGCACATTGATTTTGTATCCTGAGACTTTGCTGAAGCTGCTTATCAGCTTAAGGAGATTTGGGGCTGAGACAATGGGGAGTTTTCTAAATACACAATCATGTCATCTGCAATCAGGGACAATTTGACTTCTTCTTTTCCTAACTGAATCCCCTTGATTTCTTTCTCTTGCCTGATTGCCCTACCCAGAACTTCCAACACTATGTTGAATAGGAGTGGTGAGAGAGGGCATCCCTGTCTTGTGCCAGTTTTCAAAGGGAATGCTTCTAATTTTTGCCCATTTAGTATGATATTGGCTGTGGGTTCGTCATAAATAGCTCTTATTGTTTTGAGATATGTTCCATCAATACCGAATTTATTGAAAGTTTTTAGTATGAAGAGCTCTTGAATTTTGTCAAAGGCCTTTTCTGCATCTATTGAGATAATCATGTGGTTTTTGTCTTTGGTTCTGTTTATATGCTGGATTACGTTTATTGATTTGTGTATGTTGAACCAGCTTTGCATCCCAGGGATGAAGCCTACTTGATAATGGTGGGTAAGCTTTTTGATGTGCTGCTGGATTCGGTTTGTCAGTATTTTATTGAGGATTTTTGCATCAATGTTCATCAGGGATATTGGTCTAAAATTCTCTTTTTTGTTGTGTCTCTGCCAGGCTTTGGTATCAGGATGATGTTGGCCTCATAAAATGAGTTAGGGAGGATTCCCTCTTTTTCTATTGATTGGAATAATTTCAGAAGGAATGGTACCAGCTCCTCCTTGTATCTCTGGTATAATTCAGCTGTGAATCTGTCTGGTCCTGGACATTTTTTGGTTGGTAGGCTATTAAATATTGCCTCAATTTCAGAGCCTGCTATTGGTCTATTCAGGGATTCAACTTCTTCTTGGTTTGGTCATGGGAGAGTATATGTGTCCAGGAATTTATCCATTTCTTCTAGGTTTTCTAGTTTATTTGTGTAGAGGTGTTCATAGTATTCTCTGATGGTAGTTTGTATTTCTGTGGGGTCGGTGGTGATATCTTCTTTATCATTTTTTATTGCATCTATTTGATTCTTCTCTCTTTTCTTCTTTATTAGTCTTGCTAGTGGTCTATCTATTTTGTTGATCTTTTCAAAAAACCAGCCCCTGCATTCATTGATTTTTTTCTGAAGGGTTTTTTGTTCTCTATCTCCTTCAGTTCTGCTCTGATCTTAGTTATTTCTTGCCTTCTGCTAGCTTTTGAATGTGTTTGCTCTTCTTTAGTCCTTTTAATTGTGATATTAGGGTGTCAATTTTAGATATTTCCTGCTTTCTCTTGCAGGCATTTAGTGCTATACATTTCCCTCTACACATTCCCTCTATACATTGAAATGTGTCCCAGAGATTTTGGTATGTTGTATCTTTGTTCTCATTGATTTCAAAGAACATCTTTATTTCTGCCTTCATTTCATTATGTAACCACTAGTCATTCAGGAGCAGGTTGTTCAGTTTCCATGTAGTTGACTGGGTTTGATTGAGTTTCTTAGTCCTGAGGTCTACTTTGATTGGACTGTGGTCTGAGAGACTGTTATAATTTCTGTTCTTTAACATTTGCTGAGGAGTGCTTTACTTCCAACTACGTGGTCAATTTTGGAATAAGTGCGATGTGGTGCTGAGAAGAATGTATATTCTGTTGATCTGGGGTGGAGAGTTCTGTAGATGTCTAGTAGGTCTGCTTGGTGTGGAGTTGAGTTCAATTCCTGGATATCCTTGTTAACTTTCTGTCTTGTTGATCTGTCTAATGTTGACAGTGGGGTGTTAAAGTCTCCCATTATTATTGTGTGGGAGTCTAAGTCTCTTTGTAAGTCTCTAAGGACTTACTTTATGAATCTAAGTGCTCCTGTATTGGGTGCATATGTATTTAGGATAGTTAGCTCTTCTTGTTGAATTAATCCCTTTACCATTATGTAATGGCCTTCTTTGTCTCTTTTGATCTTTGTTGGTTTAAAGTTTGTTTTATCAGAGACCAGAATTGCAACTCCTGCTTTTTTTTTTGTTCTCCATTTGCTTGGTAGATCTTCCTCCATTCCTTTATTTTGAGCCTATGTGTGTCTCTGCATGTGAGATGGGTCTCCTGAATACAGCAAACTGATGGGTCTTGACTCTTTATCCAGTTTGCCAGTCTGTGTCTTTTAATTGGAGCATTTAGTCCATTTACATTTAAGGTTAATATTGTTATGTGTGAACTTGGTCCTGTCATGATATTAGCTGGTTATTTTGCTCGTTAGTTGATGCAGTTTCTTCCTAGCCTTGATGGTCTTTACATTTTGGCATGTTTTTGCAATGGCTGGTACCAGTTGTTCCTTTCCATGTTTAGTGCTTCCATCAGGATCTCTTGTAGGGCAGGCCTGGTGGTGACACAATCTCTGACCATTTTCTTCTCTGTAAAGGATTTTATTTCTCCTTCACTTACGAAACTTAGTTTGGATATGAAATTCTGGGTTTAAAATTCTTTTCTTTAAGAATGTTGAATATTGGCCCCCACTTTATTCTGGCTTGTACAGTTTCTGCTGAAAGATCTGCTGTTAGTCTGATGGGCTTCCCTTTGTGAGTAACTCGACCTTTCTCTCTGGATGCCTTTAACATTTTTTCCTTCATTTCAACTTGGTGAATTTGACAATTATGTGTCTTGGAGTTGCTCTTCTTGAGGAGTATCTTTGTGGCATTTTCTGTGTTTCCTGAATTTGAATGTTGGCCTGCCTTGCTAGCTTGGGGAAGTTCTCCTGGATAATATCCTGCAGAGTGTTTTCCAAGTTGGTTCTATTCTCCCCATCACTTTTAGGTACACCAATCAGATGCAGATTTGGTCTTTTCACATAATCCCATATTTCTTGGAGGCTTTGTTCGTTTCTTTTTGCTGTTTTTTCTCTAAACTTCTCTTCTTGCTTAATTTCATTAATTTGATCTTCAATCACTGATACCCCTTCTTCCAGCTGATTGAGTCAGTTACTGAAGCTTGTGCATTTGCCACGTAGTTCTTGTGTCATGGTTTTCATCTCTATTGGGTCGTTTATGGTCTTCTCTGCATTGGTTACTCTAGTTATCCATTCGTCAAATCTTTTTTCATGGTTTTCAGTTTCTTTAGACTGGGTTCGTAGTTCCTCCTTTAGCTCAGATAGCTCAGAGAAGTTTGATCATCTGAAGCCTTCATCTCTCAACTCATCAAAGTCATTCTCCATCCAGCTTTATTCCATTGCTGGCAAGGAGCTGCATTCCTTTGGAGGGGAGAGGCACTCTGATTTCTTGAATTTTCAGCTTTTCTGCACTGCTTTTTCCCCATCTTTGTGGTTTTTATCTACCTTTGGTCTTTTATGATGGTGATGTACAGATGGGGTTTTGGTGTGGATGTCCTTTCGGTTTGTTAGTTTTCCTTCTAACAGTCAAGAGCCTCAGCTGCAGGTCTGTTGGAGTTTGCTTGAGGTCCACTCCAGACCCTGTTTGCCTGGGTATCAGCAGTGAAGGCTGCAGAAGAGAGAATATTGCTGAACAGCAAGTGTTCCTGTCTGATTGTTCCTCGGGAAGCTTTGTCTCAGAGGTGTACCCGATTGTGTGAGGTGTGAGGTGTGAGGTGTCAGTGTACCCCTAGTGTGGGATGTCTGTCAGTTAGGCTACTCGGGGGTCAGGGACCCACTTGAGCAGACAGTCTGTCCGGTCTCAGATCTCAAACTCCATGCTGGGAGAATCACTACTCTCTTCAAAGCTGTCAGACAGGGACTTTTACATCTGCAGAGGTTTCTGCTGCTTTTTGTTTACCTATGCCCTGTCCCCAGAGGTGGAGTCTACAGAGATAGGCAGGCTTCCTTGAGCTGACGTGGGCTCCACCCAGTTCGAGCTTCCTGGACACTTTGTTTATCTACTTAAGCCTACAGCAATGGTGGGTGCCCCTCCCCAAGCCTCACTGCTGCCTTGCTGTTAGATCTCAGACTGTTGTGCTAGCAATGAGGGAGGTTCTGTGGGCATGGGACACTCCGATCCAGGCGCGGGATACAATCTCCTGGTGTGCCATTTGCTAAGACCCTTGGTAAAGTGCAGTATTAGGGTGGGAGTGACAAGATTTTCCAGGTGTTATGTGTCTCAGTTTCCCTTGGCTAGGAAAAGGAATTCCCTTCCCTCTTGTGCTTCCTGGGTAGGGGATGCCTCGCCCTGCTTCGGCTCTTGCTCCTCTCGCTCGTTGGGCTGCACCCACTGTCCTGCACTGACTATCCGACATACCCCAGTGAGATGAACCCAGTACCTCAGTTGGAAATGCAGAAATCACCTGTCTTCTCTGTCACTCATGCTGGGAGCTGGAGGCTGGAGCTGTTCCTATATGGTCATCTTGGCGTCCCACCTAATGAAATATTTTGTCTAGTATTCAGTCAGGTAAACAAATGCAGTTGTGTCATATAATTATAAACAATGATTTACAATTTTATAGTATTTTACATGTATTATCTCATTTAATCTTCACAAGAACTATTGAAATAGATATTATTTCTCCATTTCTATATAAAGAAAAATGGAGCTCAGGGAAGTTGAGCAACTTGGTCAAAGTCACTCAACTGCCAACACCAAGAGCATAAACAAGAATCCAAGTCCTGTAACTTAAATCTGGCAACCTTTTCACTCTTTTCGTGATGACTGTACTCACCACATTTTAAGTGACAGTATCCTAGATAATTTTTTTCTTTTTAAATGAAGGCCATTGGATTTGCTGTCAAAACAATGACTTACTGTCAAAGAGTCTAAGAACACCTTAGTTGCTTAAGACTAATATATAGTTTCAGCTATAGAATGTCCTTTTAAATGCTCTTGAAATGTATATTTTGGAGGGTTTCGGGAGCCTTGACCTTGTACTATTAACTCAATGTGTGGCCATATTATCTGAAATAAAACAGAAATAAGAACTAGGCTTCTCCTTGACAAAAGGAACAATGCGATACAATCTGGAAGTACTTTAGAAGATATAAGATAGAAGTACTTTATAAGGTATAAGATGGAATCTGGAAGTACTTTAGAAGGTATAAGATACTACAGAAGTGTACTAATTTTTAGATTATTCTTTCTAATGTGGGAAGCAGTGATAATATGAAAGTAATAAATAAGGGGTTTTAAATACATTTCATGATTGTCTTTGTTAGACAGGAATAGTATCCACCATTAATAGTCTGTTGTCTCTGGGTGTTTACCATTGAGTGGCTTTGGGTTTCAATCTTGATGATTTTGAGAGAAAGTTTATAATAAAATTTGCTACAGATATTCCTAACCTATTTCAGGGTTGATTGTGTAAATAGTGTTTCCAAAATAAGAAGCCCATTCAATGGTAAAGCATTATGTTGACTCTGAGCCCTTGGAATACTTTCTGAATTCACTGAAATCTCTGCAAAATCAGTTGGTATTGTTCTAGGCTTTTTGTTTCTTTTTTTCCACAAAAAGTGTTAAAAAATTCAAGATTTAAAAGAGACTTTTCTTTCATAATGAGTTCTATAACTTAAGGCCTTACAGGGACAAAGATCTTCCAAAATTTTTGACCGGTCCCTTGCTCCGTACCACCACGATCATTTTATCGTATGGTATGTTTTTCTGTTCAATTTTTTTTCAACTTAAGATGTTCTTTGTCAGTGTCTAGAAAATTTAGACTAAAGTGATATAATTCATTTTTGGCAGAACTCTGGGTAAACATTTAGAACTTGTCCTTCTGGAGTACGGTTTAGCAATATTTATTTAATAAATGTTAAGTACCAACTCTGGGCTCCTGGTTAGGTGATGAGAATATTAAGGTGAATGCTTATATGGTTTGTGCTTATAAGGAACTCAAAGTCTACCAGAGAAGAAACACATGTGACAGATGTGATGATGAGTAGACAGCAGACCTCACCTCTGCAGTGGCCATAATTTGGCTACCCACACTTACAAACCTGCCTCCATGAACCCCGGGTGGTAATACAGGACTAGGGCTAGGACTACTGGAGACTTTCCCTAAGATGTTTTCAATGTACAGCAGGTTAGAGAAACCTCTTTTCTTTCTGGAATAGGAGGTGATAGAATGTGAGTCCAGAGTTGACTATAATAGCCATAGAGAACAGATGATTTGAGACAATGGAGATCTCAAAGCAGATTAGAGACGAGAAATCAAGAAAGGCTCTTGACAAACTTGGTTTCTAGATCTAGGCATCCTGACCCTTTCCATGGTTTGGGTACTGGAGCCAGTTAACTTTCTGTTTTTGCTTGGTCAAAGCTTGTTATATTATAAATAAAATAGAAACTTGCAAAACATTCTTTTCTTGCCGTTTACCAAGGGAGTACATTTCAGCCAAATGCATAATGAAACAACTAATTTCAAGCTGGAAATATAGGGGAATGTGTACCCTACTATCCCGTAGTACTTTCTCTGCTCTGATTTTACTGATGATGGGGGGAAAAAGACACACATGCAATAAGGCTGATAATTTTGGGGCGTATGTAACGTGAATATCAGTGGGTTTTAAGCCTCATAAGCAAGAGGCTTTAGGAAAGCCTGTATGGAAGACCCAACTCTAGAATTCCAAACAACTAGTCTCTCCTTCCACATTTTGAGAATTCTCAATTGACCTCAGGATTTCTCATATGTGCTTTGAGCATTGGAAACCAATACCAGCCCCACAGATCACTTACCTTAGGATAGCATACACTTTACACAGTGAGTTTCCATCTAGAAGTAGTTATGCAGGCAGGATGCTAGAAAAGATGAATAACATATTAATTAATTTTTAAATTACTTTTTTCTATAGCTCGATCTTGAAAATAATAACTACATATTAAGCAATTATACAGAAAAAAAGTTATAGCATGAATAACATACACTTTGAAGAAACTTAGTCTTGAATAGTATGGTCATTGTTTGCTTAGTTACTTTTTCCAGAACTACTGGAAAGAATTAAACCATGGAGCAGCCTTTCTTACCTCAGAATTATCTAACAAGAACTTTAATTAACACTGGGAAAAACAAGATAGCAATCGCCATAATAGTAATTGCATTTGGAAGCTAGAATTCTCAATGCAGCTAAAATCCTGATTTATTCTATTTTTTGCATCACCCTATTAATTGAGGGGAACAAATGCCTTTTCCCAGGACTATAGCTGTGGGCATTGTCTAGCATCACCCAGAACTCACAGGTGATTCTGTTGCACATATAACATCCTTAACAATTGATTCAATTCCTTAATTATATTGAAATTTCTTGTGCTTACCTCATAGCACCATAATTAAAGCAATAGCTGAAAAAATACAGGCACCTAAACCCACATTTAAGTCATCATTTAAGAATCTGGCCTTTGGGAAGAAGTACTGGATAAAGTAAAATCTCTGAGCAATAATGTGACAGAGACCTGATTCTTAAGTGAACTGTGCACAAGTGTTTGAGCACAATTGAATTATTTCCTCCAGTCAGCTTCTTGTTCTACCCACATCTTTGATGTCTAGAACAGTGCCTAAAAACACAACAATTATTTGATGAATGGCTAAATAAATACATTAAGTAAATAAATGTATGATTAACTATAGAACCTTGATACAATAAAGCAACATTGATAACGTGACTATAGAACAAAAAGGTGTGAAACATCAAAGATCAGAGAACTGAGCAGGTACAATAAAGCAACACTGATGACATGACTGTAGAACAAAAAGATGTGAAACATCAAAGATCAGAGAACCAAGCAGGGGGAGCCGCTAAGATCACATAGCACAGCTATTACTGTTGTCATCACACACACACACCTGCGGGAAGTATTACCTAATGAGAAGATGACATACTTTGGCTAGACTATCATTAAAGGTCAGACTAGGTCATACCTAATGTGAGCAAAACCAAAAATGTACTAGTGAATTTGGTGTGTTCCTACTTCAGTTATTACATTAAACAAGCACACATTTATAGAGGAATCCTATCTAGAAGTAAAAATTCTCCATATAGCCAAAATAAAAATCTTAGCTGTATTTTATCTCTACATATTTCACTTATCTATGGTATATTTAATTTGTGTGTATTTCATTTGTTAATCCATCCATACATTTGATAAACACCAATTTCTCACCTATGATTTTAGGCCACGATTGAGTTCAGCAGCTACACGTTAGTGGAAATACAAGGATGTAAACACTGTGCCGTGGCTGTGTGATTATCTCAATGGCCCAGGTTCCACATGTCTTTCTTCTTCATTGTCCAGGACACTATTCCAAGAAAATGTACCTACCAAAACAGGCACCAGAAGAGATGGACAGTCTGTTTAGAAAATAACCACACATACAGAGAAAAATACCCAAACCAATTGCTATAAAAAAAATGAATCTGTCAAAGGACTACACAGCTGCCTTCATAAAAAGAATTTAACAGATGAAGTAAATGAATCCTTAAGTTAATCTTTAATTCTTATTATCTTCAAATATTTCATAGCATAGACAGGCAAGTAAATTTTTCAAATCCTTTTTACAAAGTCAATATTATGTGGGCACAAAAAAATCTTACGAAGAATACATTAAAAAATACTGTGAATCATTTTCTCTTCTGAATAATCATGGGATTATCCTAAAGACACCATTAAAAACTATATTCATGCAGTATATTAACACCATAATATGGGCATTGAAATGGAAGTTAGAAATATCTTTCAATATTAAGAAAGCTGTTAATATAATCCATATAATTCATATGTACATGTAATATGTGATATATCCATTTTATTCAGGTATTCCAAAGTAATTACTTAGCATGGAGCGAAGTAGTAACCTATGATTCTTATATTTTCCCCTTGACATGATGATGATCATCATTATTATTCCTATTTTCTTTTTTTCTCTATCTTGAATTGAGAAAATGTGATACAGTTTTTAATTTTTTTATTTGGGAGCCCAATCTTCTTGAGTTTTACATTTTAATAGAAATTTTTAATTATAAATATTCCTAGTGAATCAATATTCAGTATTTGAATCCTGCTGTCAAGAAACTTGTTTTGTCTACTTATTAAACATCCCTCCTAATCTTGCTAAGAGTTTTAATCTTGGCCAAGTGCAGTGTCTCATACCTGTAATCCCAGCACTTTGGTAGGTTGAGGTGGGAGGATTGCTTGATCCCAGGATTTTGAGATCAGCCAGGGCAACGTAGTGAGACCCCACCTCTACAAAAAAAATGCAAGTATTAGCCACTCACAGCAGTGTGCCTGTGTAGTCCCAGCTACTTAGAAGGCTGAGGCAGGAGGATAGCTTGATCTCAGGAGGTTGAGGCTGGAAGGGGCCATGTTCACACCATTGGACTCCAGCCTGGGCAACAGAGGAAAACCCTATCTCAAAAAACTCCCTCAAGTTTTAATGTTATACTTCTAACAGTAGCATAATTATTTCTGTGTTTGCTTTTATATATATATATATCAATATTTTAAATCACTTTTAGTGCTTATCATTTCTTTCATCTTTCCTCTGGTAGATACTTCAATAGATTTTTAGTACAGATCTGTGAATGGGTTAGTCCTTTCAGTGTTTCTATGTCTTTTAATATTATCGTTTTATTCTCATTCTTGACTAATTTACTATGTTGACTGTCATTTCCCCTCATCACTCTTAAGATATTATTCAATCTTCAGATAGAATATTTGTATTTTATTTCTATTATTCTATCAGAAATAGAAAATCTTCAGAGTGATGAGGGGAAATGACAGTCAACATAGCTAATCTCATCTCTATTATAAGTAATAGTCTGCTTTTCCTCTAGTTCCTATCTGTGTAGGGAGTATGATTTTTCTCTCTGATGGTCTTCGTGGTTAATTCTTGATTTTTGATACCCTGCAACTTCATTTTATTGCAATATGGAAAGATAGATACAGATATATGTTTATGTTTAGATTTGTATCTAGCTTTCTATTCGGAGTGTACTGTGAAGGTCAGGATTCATATCATTATTTCTGGAAGAGTCTCAGCAATTATTCCTACACATGTTTCTTCTCCATTCCTTGTTCCTGGGAGTTACATTAAAAAATAATCCACTGGGGCCGGGCGCAGTGGCTCACGCCTGTAATCCCAGCACTTTGGGAGGCCGAGGCGAGTGGACCACGAGGTCAGGAGACGGAGAACATCCTGGCTAACACAGTGAAACCCCTTCTCTACTAAAAAATACAAAAAATGAGCCGTGTGTGGTAGCTGGCGCTTGTAGTCCCAGCTACTCGGGAGGCTGAGGCAGGAGATTGGTGTGAACCCGGGAGGCGGAGCTTGCAGTGAGCCGAGATTACGCCACTGCACTCCAGCCTGGGCGACAGAGTGAGACACATCTCAGAAAAAAAAAAAAAAAAAAAAAAAATTCCACTAGACTTAAATGGTTTTTGTATTTATATATTTTTGTTTCTCTGTGTTGGTAAACTTCTTGGTTCTATTTTTCAATAACTTTTTCTTTGACTATGTCCAATTTAGGTTTTACTCTACTAATTTTTAAAAAATTTTAAATACTATATATTTCCCTTCTAAGATTTATGCTTGATGATTTGTAGTTCCTACTTGATTGAGCTTTCTGATCTGTTTTCTAATCTCTTATACTATTGAAAGATACATTTTTATGTATTTCTTTGAATATCCTAGAAATAATTATTGAAATATTTTGTATGCGTTCTATAAAATTAATATCACCTGAAGTAATTTCCATTTTGAAAGCTGATTTTGTACCGTTTCCTTCAACAAAATTCTTAATATATTTTAATATTTTTCTTGTCAAGCTCATTTTGATAGCGAATATATATATATATACACACACTTGTTTCATATATATTTCCATTGCTTTTTTCTTTTCCATGTTATTCTCTTTGCTGCCCTATTTCAACTTCCTCTTTCCTAATCCAGCTTCACTCTTAATCTCCCTCTCCTCTCTCTCCTTTGTTCCCACTTCTTTTCCATGTATCAATTTTAAAATTGTCTTCATTCTAGACCTTTGGTCCCCCAAACAAATACCAAGTCTTGTAATTTAGCTTTGAGGCTTCTGCCTGAGATGCTCACAGAACAAACTGCAGGACCACCTGGTACTATTACCTTCATGAGTATAAGGCTCTTAGTGTTCTTCTGATCAGTTTTTGTAACACCTGTGGGTAAGGATGCACAATAAGCACACCTTTTAGTTGAAGATGGGTGGAGCTGAGCTCCCAGATTTAAGCAGTGACTCCAACTCCCATTATTCTTCTTATCCTTCCCTAAATCCAATTCCTATTTCATATGGAACACTTTTAGTTTCCTTCACTCTTAAACAGCCAAGCCCTCAATACCCACTTCAGCATCCTGGGCTTAACACACCTCTGATTTCAGCCTGCTCACTCTTTGACATTGTCATTCCACCAGAGTTGCTTATATGTTTTTTTCCTAATCTAGATAAGTCTTTTCAATTTTCTCTTTGTGCGTGCATATGCATGTGTGTGTCTGTGCATGTATCATTGTCATGTATAAACTGATTGTACCATTTTGAATTGAAATGTTCCCATATTAGATGTTAGAAGACATTATACCAATTATTTTTACTGAAATTCATCTATAGTGTACTCTCTGAAATCACTATTAAAATTTTGCTCATTGGAGAAAACAATAGTTTTAGAACTTTTAAATCTTTGAAAATTTATAGTAATCATTAACTATGGCTTCAATATACCTATGTTTACAGTGTCTCTTTAAAAATCCATTCCAATGTATTAGCAAGAATCTACTCTCAAGTAATTTTATACATAACAATGTTTTGTAAATTCTAATGTCCATATATAGATGATTCAAAACATGTGATAAAACTGTTAGTGGAATTTAACAAAGAAATGAAAAACTCTTAACAGCTTTTAAATTAAATTAAAACACATCAAGACAACAAAATCTCTTGAGAAGTTAAATGACCTAAGTTAAAAATACACAGGAAAAAAAATCTGTTGGTAGTGAACAAGTGAACTCAGAAAAGCTGAATTTTATTACAGAAATGTTTTATCCTGTGTCTTTTTCCTTCTGATATAACTAATCTATAAATAGCTAAAAACCTTATGGGTCTTATTTGCAATAGAAGGCATAGTGTATTAAGTCAAGCTGAAACAAAAGAAAAGCAAGGTCCTTTTGACCGTTGGGTTCCTCTGCATATTCTCTTCTTCATTCAGGGCTACATCTCTGTGTAAAGGACCATGATTCAATAGCCATACACAGGCAATGCTGCTATTGTGTGACAACATTGCTGTAGCTTATGTTCCTGGTTTGGCTTCATGAGTTCTGAAAATGCCATAAGCTGGTTCTTTTATTTGAATTGACTCTTCAAAGAAATTCTTTGAACTACAGAGAGGCTAATATCCTCTATTTTTCCAATGGCATACTTGAATATACAAAAATACGTAATATATACTTATTTATTTTTTTTTTTTTTTTTACCTAGCAAGGTAAATACTTGCTATTATTTATTTATCTTTAAATAAAAACTATTTAAAGATTATTAGTATGAAAATAGGGCCTAAATCTTATTACAGAAATGCCATTACATCTTAACAATCTCTATATAGTGAAATTATTTTGAAGTATTAGTGGATGATCTAAGCATAATTAAGCAGTGGCCGACACAACTAAGTTTTATCAACAACAAAATGATAATGACAAAATGCATACAGATTTATAATAGTGCTCCATATAAATGACTGTAATGTTTTGATAAAAAATGGATAAGTAATAATATAAAACTTCAAACAATATAGGAAATATGAAGATGAAAGCAAAAAAAAAAATCAGAAACTCACCTCTGAGAATAATCACCATTAACATTCTTTTTTTTTTTTTTTTTCTTATGCGATTTATTCCTAAAAAATAGGTCATGTTTTCCCATTTATGCGATTTATTCCTAAAAAATAGGTCATGTTTTCCTGTAAGAAATAATGTAAGATGGGGAGGAATTCTTGATCAGTGATGGAGTACCAAATAACACCAAATGAATAAAGTAAAGATAAGATAAAGCAGCTATAAAATGTCTGCAGGTGATCAAGTAAAATAGTAACACAAAGGATATCATGAACAGAATTCTACAGCCATGAGGGAGCTTTAAGGATTATTCCTTCTAGGTATTCTGATTTTAGATATGAGAAAACAAAGTCCTATAGACACCAGGAGGATTTATCAGTTAAGAAATTAGTGTAAGGAGCCAAGACTGGAAACCAGATAACCCGCCTTCGACCCAGTGTCTTTCCACTACACTGGTACTGTTAAAAGTCCTGCAAAAGATATATCAAC